TGTTAACATGTAAAGTTTTTCACACACTACTTTGGTAACCCCCTAATATATCCTGTCATATGTCAAGCAATGATGTCTTTCATTCCTGCTGGTAAAATAGGTTGATAGAAATCTCCCCACTTCACATGGCTGCAGTTATTTTACCCGTTATTGCTACAAGTTGCTGAATTTCATTGACTCTCCATCTTGGTTTACCTCATAGCCACTAGTGTCCTTCTGCGTGGATTTTTGTTAAGAGATGAAGAGTTAAAATGAATGATAACGATGTGATGTTCTGCTGGGAAGCATCAGGATCAGCTGCTTATCCCCTCGTGCCAAACATCACCGGACACCCCCACAGGTCCCTGTTTTCGCCCTGTTGAATCAGAGCTGTGTTGATGGACCTACACGGTATCAGACGGGTGTAATGCTGGGCCCGATCGATCCATGCATACAGTGATTTTGGTGAGCCCTCATGCATCAGTGGTTTTTCGACTCCAGCCCAGAAACCGCAGACTCCGGCAGAGAGGTAATTACTGAATATAGTAGCATTGATTGGCGGCGTGACAAAATAGGGTTTGATTGATTCAAAGCTTTATAACTTAAAAACGAGAGGCCATTGTTTTATTTTACATCACCATTAACACGCGCTGTTTGTTTTCTCTGCCGTGCTGAAAAATCAAACGTGACTGTTACAGAAAAGGAGGATTTGGGCGATAAGAAGAAGAGGATAAATACAAAATAAAGCGTTAGGAAGGCCGTGAATTGAACTCCCTGCTTCTAATGTTAAGCAGGTAACCCTCTCATTTGGTGTGTTGTTCTGCTCAGGAAAGGACTGGCATCAAACACATCTCAGCACACACACACTCACATACACAGGGGTCCTGCCCAGTAAGAGGGCATAAAATCTGAATAATTTCACAGATAATTTGGTTGTCACAGGCTGGCAATAGCAATAACAACTTTAGATAGAGAGCCAGCACAAAAGGGAAGTAGAGAGAAGAGCGGAGCGAATCACCCTTAGCCAATCGCTGTGTCTAAGCCAAAGTGGTGTTTGTGGGAGGATTAAAAAAAAAAAAAAAGCTCCTTTTTAAGCCTGTCGAAGAAAATGAGGGGAATCGCTCTCATTTCCCCTGAACTCCTGCTTCCAAATCGTTCCTCCTCTCCTTGCATCACTCAGCGTGACCCTTTGAAAAATCGCAAAACGTTTAACGTGGCGGCGGGATGATCGCGCGCTCCAGCTTCGGCGATGGTGGCATAAAATATGGGGTGCTGTAATTGGAATTATGCACTTAGAAGCAGTTTGGGGATGTGCAGTCTATCCAGCACACAGGTGGCTTTCATCACCTCGGAAAGAGGCAGGCAGCGGTGCGCGTGTGTGGGTGTGCGCGGCCACATATTGAAATTGTGTGTCCTATACATTATTCAGATGCTTCGAGCCACCACATCTGTTCATTTCTCTGAGCGACACACACACGCACGCACACACCTGATGAACAATAATTACTCTGCTGCCTGGCACCCGTGTCACCCTCTAACACTGGCTTTGTGCAGCATGTAGTTTGCGAGGAGTGCTGTTTGTCACCTGTACGCACAGATCACAATGACAAAAATAGCTGCGTACAAACAACAAACTTGTGCAGGATAGATGCACCACAGTTTGCCGTGCATGTGCTCACAATTCCCGAAGAGGTGCGTGCACACTTTGGAGTCTGTGGAGCGTTTCGGAGGGGTGCTTACAGTGCGTACTCGCTTGATCCCCGTGTCTTTGCGCGCTTACATGTGTGTGTTGTGTGCGGCCTGTGTTTTTGGGAGAGGAGAG